CAGTTGATGAAAAGTCATCAAATAAAGTCTATGGAATTGTATCATATGTTGCACCCGAACTACTTAGAGGCAAAATTGATACAAAGAATACCAAAGAATCAGATATCTATAGTGTTGGGATGTTAATGTGGGAAATATTTGCAGGACATCCACCATTTGACAATAGAGCTCATAATCATTGTTTGATTTTTGATATATGTGCAAAAGGTTTACGACCACCAATATTACCTGGAATGCCTGAAGATTATGCACAAATGATGCAGAGGTGTTGGGATATGGATCCATCAAAAAGACCAACCAGTAGAGAGCTTTACCAATTTGCTATTAATAAACGTGATGAAGTTTTTAAAAATAATAATGATAATAGTAGTATTAATACTACTAGTAGTGGTGGTAGTAGTGTTTTGCAACAAGTACATGAATCACACCCAGATGCATATCATACAAGCAGAATATTAGATGAAGAGATTGCTAAATCAAAAAGCTTGAAATTTTATACAAGTAATGATAGTACATTAAATAATCTTGATTTTAACTCTTTCCTCTTAAATGTTGGAGGTGAATAAAAATTTCGTTATTAATCAATTGGAACTTATTATCCATTGATTATTACTACCAATATTTTTAATTGCATTGGATTAGTGTTCCTATTCATATCTCTAACTCCATATTCGAATATCTGTAACACTTTCAAATATTCGTAATACTAACACTTTCAGATATTATATATTGTAATTATAATATTAATATATATACTTTATTTTTTTTATTAATGTAACAACATTTCATGTAATTAAATATATAAATTTTTAAAAAATATAAAAACTACATTTTACTAGCATGCCTATACAAATCTGTGGGCACACTTGATGGTGCCAGATAACTACAATTAAATAATGATTAGAGATGGGAACTATTCAACTTTTCGAACATTAATTTGCATAATGCGCGTGATGATCTTTTCTATAACTGATTGATTTTAAAAGTATATACAAATAAAAAACCTAAATAAAAAAATTACTTTTTATTAAAATAAAATAATTATTTCTTAATCATTTTCATATCCATCTAACTCATATAATTCAATTGTGGTATCTGACTCATTTGATCTATTATCACTTTCTACATCACCTTCCCTAATCTCATCATTTAAATTCCCTTCCACTTCTGATAATTCATTATCTTCATTTTCATCCTCATGTATATCAATACTATAACATTTTTGTGGCTGCTGTAATTTATAGTTACTATAAATATAAACCAACTTAAACACTTGTTCTGAGGTTAAATGATTGTGTTTTTTGTCATGAATATATGAAAAGGCTGACAAATTGCACTCAGAAGCAGCAGAAGATGAAGGAATTCTTTAAAATACATAAAACAATCTTTGTTAATCCAGGAGCTGAATATTAGAATTGACTTTTCCACCAAGTTATAGAATCTACAGCATCAATTGATGCCCAACTAAGGTTATTAAGCGGAGGCACAAAATAAAAAAATTTTTAAAAAATTTCGTGTAGCATTACATATGTTCATTATTTGTTGAGACATTATGCGCATTTTAAAAAATTCAGTGCGCGTTATGCAATTTTGCCCATCTCTAATAATGATAGCCTTTTGCTCAAGGGCTTTGATTCATTCACCCTTGTCTTGTTTACATTCATTGGCTGATTGCAAACTCGCTTTGGTTATTTACAAAACAACTCAAGTAGCTTGTTTAACAGCCTTATGTTTATGATTACAATAATACTATCAGTATTTCCAATTAACACCTACAAGTCAACCAATGTTAATCCTAACCTTTGCTTACTCATTAAAGCAAATTACATTATTAATCATTGTTAACACCCACTATTTAACCAAAGTTAGTCCTAACCTTGCTTACTCATCAAAGCAAATAAAACTTGGCTTTTTTACAAAGCTCCATAATTGTTACCTTTTACCAAGGAACTACACTTGTTGCTTTTATCAAAGTGCTTGAAATAAAACAATGTTTTTATTTTTATTTTATTCCTAAAGGCTTATTAACATTTAATAAAAATAATGACTCTATCACAAAGTTTTATTTTATCAGAATGTTAACTATCTATTATTTTTCTCTGTGAGAGGACCAGAAGTTATGCTTTTTCAAGCAAAGGCCAGAAGTTATCTTTAATGGAATTTTCATTGATCACTACAATAAGGATAAGGATAAAGATAAAGATGGGTTAATTATTGCAAAATAATTTAATCAATCAATAGTGATATTACAGTCAGGGAATTGTAATTTCTAAATACTGCAATGATCCATTTTCTAGAATACAATAACAAATTATGTTATAATATAAATATTGTATTTATTTATTTGCAAAAAAAATTTCACTTAAAATATACAATTTATAATCTCTTTTTTTTGTATTCAAATTTTTATTGAGTTCTACAAAATGAGTTAATTTAAATTAATATTAAGATTATATAAAAAACTATTAATAATGAATTTTTTTACTTTGTTTAAGTTTTCCTTGGTGTCATAAATCTTCTTGAGTCATTTATTCTGCATCAGTTTCATCAATCCCATTATGAAGATCTTGAACTTGTTGAAAAATTTGTAATAATTCATCTTTTCTTTTTGATTTAAGTCCTTTGAATTGTGGTAAATTAACCTCATTTAAAGATTCAATTAATGCCTGAATTACACATATTAGATCATTGTTTGACATTGAGCTAGTTGCTGATTGTTTTTCCTCTTCTTCAATAGTGACAGGAATGGGGCAAGTATTTGGCAACTTATCTGAGGTTAACTTTTTTTTAATGAAATTCTGACAATAGAAATGAGCTGTTGAACTAAATGTTTTCATTGCATTACTTAATTCAATATGCCCATCCAAACCTTTAAATGTAAAATTATTCTCTGATGGATTCAAGAAATATGACTTTCTTAATTCAACACAAAAATGTTGTGATTCTTTATTAAAGTCAAGAAGTTATCTAGGACTAAGATTGCTTGCCAAAACTCCTCCAGAAATCAATCAGCAGGGTTTCACATTAATTGTTTATTAGAGTTTCGGCAGAGTTTTGCATTTTGAGGTTTCGCTATTTTGGCATAGTTTCAACAGGATTTTTGATAAGATTTAATATAGTTTCAGCAATTACTAAGGAGGTTTCGCCCACAACCTTATCTAGGACCACTGCTTTCTTGCTCAGAATACTCAATTATGTCAAATATTGTTTTCCTAAGCTAAAAAAAAACATAATTAATAAGCATTGAGATTATTATAATTTCTCTATCATTGATGAAATTATAATATTAATGCTTACACTCATAAATTCTGTATGATTTCTAACAGCAATCTCCCAATGTTTTTGAGTTGGTACAGGAGGAATAAGTGCTTTAAGAGACTTGTTTATTCCTTCAAGTATAACATCTAATCCCTGATGCTGGTTTGACCATCCTCAATGAGATACAACTGAATTGTCCTCAAGAAGTTTTTTTATTTCAGGTCAGAGACACATTAATCATTCTTCTTCAACAACTTCAATTGATTGATAAATCGGATGTATCTGAGCAGACCAAATTGGAGCAAAAATCCTACTTTAAGTGGAGGATTATTTGTTTGAATATTTTTACAAAAATTAATAATTGCTTGTAAGTACCAAAAAGTCTAAATTAATTAATTGGTGTCAATTAATTATTAGTTAAGAAAATACACATTTTTTAAAGAGGAATCTAAAGTCCTACCTGCTCATATTTCAATTTATATAATTCATCTTTATTATTTTTTGTCCAATTAAGGTATCCATCAACAGAAGGATTAGAAGCAATACCAACATAAGGATATACCAAACATAGTACCATATGGTCTGTTGATAATGATCTGAATAATTTCACTTTCATTGACATGATCAAAGGTTTTGTTCCTTCTTTTATTACCAACAAAATACAAATTATACCACAAACTCAAAAATCACTACTCTATCATTATGAACAATATATATTTAAAAATCATGGAATGCATTTGGAAACCCAGATGTGAAAAAATGATTAAATTAAAAATTTCTTTAATATTACTAAAAAAGAAAAATTAAAAAAGAAATACAACAAAAACTCCACCAATGATTCCTCTAGTAGTCTCAATAGAGATACAAATAACTTATCAAATGGTTCTGAGGGTTTAGAACATGTGATTACATCAGGTGGTTTTCTTTTGGATTATTACAATAGGTAATAACCATTTACTTTTTATCTATGTTTGAATGTCAGGTGTTAAATCTTAATACCTTTTGGGCCTGGTTTTTAATAGGTGATAAGAGAAACGTAAAAATCCTAACAATGCTACAAACACGAATAAAAAACTTTGTAAGCAGTAAATAATAATAATAATTCAATGATTTTAATAGGTGATGAAAGAAAATGCAAAACCGATGCTCATAGCACAAGAACGAATAAAAAACTTCGTTCAAAATAAAATTTTCTCAATGCAATTAGGAATAATGATGGTTTCAAAGAATAACTAACTGTTATCAAGTATTTTTTGTGGGAGAGCAAATGTAATAAATGATAACATATTTTAATTGTATGGAATCAGATGAATGGTACTATAAACTAGCGAATATTTTTGGTTGATATCAAGAATATTTGTTATTCAGATGGTCAAAACCGATGAATTTAGATCCAAAGATCAAAGTTGAAACTTTATCTCTCCACCTCAAACTTCCCTTTACTTCGACTGTTTATATATGTTAACAAATTATTGTCAAACTTTGTCTGTTTTCCCTACTTTGTATAGATATCCAAACATTATCTGGTTCGCCAGACATAATCTCTCATTTATTCTATATATAGTAAGTATAGACTAATACTATTTTTATGTCACATCATTAATTATGGTATCATTGAGAGAATTAAAGAAAATCATTCCGATTTTGATATGCTAATTGATGACGACTTTGGATGAATTACATCAGTCTGTGCCAAATTTTTTGATGAAATATATGTTTTTCCTGATTATAAAGCTAACCAACATGTTCAAAGGGAAAATGTTTACCACTTCAAAACTACGATTAATGATTTAAGAGATGAAGCTTTGGCCAAAGCTGTTGAGGAATATAAAAACGAGATTTAAAGAATGAAAAAAGTTTGATGGTAAATCCATTCGACTATGAATAGCAGTACAACTTTAATTTTAGATTTTATAATTGCTATGATTTATGTTGTTAAAAGGCTATATAAAAAGAAAAAATAGATCAACATGTAATAATGTGATTCGTTGCATTTTATAGGATTTCTGCTCTTTGTTAGGTAATAGCACACACCTTCATTCTGCTTTCTTTCCTTAATGTTTATTATTTTTCTTTCTCCTTGGTAAATTTTATAAATAATCCTTTCTTTTCTTAGATAAAAGCTTCTAGTGTGCGAGTATCATTTATTTTGAAGATATAAGGAGCAATTTCTCGCCTTGTTCCTTTTTCAAAATACTTCCAAGTACTATAATTCTTGGGTTCCATAATAGGTTTGATATAAACTAATTTCATTTTTATATAGGAATAGTTCTATATATCACAAAAAAAAAAATCAAAACGAATACAGTTGGCTCTGGATATAGTGAAGCATTTGTTTTTGGAAAAACTTCATTATATAGTACGATTCATTATATAA